GGCTGACTAAAGCAGGTTTCTGGGGTTTTGTTTAGCTTCTATATTTGCAACATAGTTGCTTAGAGTTGCAGCTGAGAGGCCGGCAAGTCAGGCGGGGAACGTTGGAGTCCGCAGTCACTGGAGCAAGCAAGCCTCCCTGTTCGCTTCAGTGCATGGCTGCCAGCAGCCATCTTGGCTGGCAGTTAATTTGCATATCGCCCTGATTAGCCAATGGGACGGGTAGCGGATGTACGGCTAATACCATGTTTCTCTTTTATTAGATAGGATTGAAAAGATCATGTTTTGCTTCTAAAGCATAAAGGTTCCAAATGAAAGATTTTAGTTTTTTCTGGTGTAGCAAATATATCCATTAAAATATAATAATGAATAAATGGTATTTTTAAAAATTTTAAGTGACATTTTTAATTTTCCAAGGATTTTAATATACATAGATTCTCAACTTAATGATTTTGCAAACTTGCAAACAAATACAGGATTGTAAGAAACTACATATATTCCAGCTAAAGGTTCCAGCTAGATTTTAAGAGATGATTAATGAATTTTAAGTGACATTTTTAATTTTCCAAGGATTTTAATATACATAGATTCTCAACTTAATGATACTAACCTTTTGCAAACAAATACAGGATTGTAAGAAACTACATATATTCCAGCTAAAGGTTCCAGCTAGATTTTAAGAGAAAAGGTGATGATTAATGAATTTCCGGTTGAACAGAAACTACCTCAGCCTGCTGCGATTGTCCTTTGACACCACAGGGCAGTAATTTGAGGGATTAACAGGAAAAATGACAGAGTAGTTGTTGAAAAGGTGTCTTCATTGGGACCCCTCTGCCTCAACTCCAGCATTAAGACACTCTTGGATTAGCAAGTGTACCACCTCTCACCACCATTGAGAAGGTGTCAGGCAAACAGGTAGTAAATCCTGCAAATGCTTTCCAGGGATTGGGTTCCAAATTGCCTCTAGCTGTTGGCACAGCCAATAAGCTTAAAGCTAACTTAATATCAGGTATATCTCTGTTCAGTGTGCTGCCAAAACGGATTAGCTAAGGGATGTATATGTGTGTATTCTTAATTATCTTGCAAACCTGGAAATGGAAAAAATAATACAAGCCATTGGTGGAAATGCTTTTGATAGACTAGATTTCTTTACAAGGCAAAACATTTTTATATAACTGCAAAAAGACCTCTTTAAGAGCTAATTATCTAACCAGCTTGCATTGGCCATCCTGAAAAATACTGTACATTAAATGACTTTTCCCCCGACAACTTTTTCTGATGTTGACAATGAAAGCAGAGTCTCATAGATTTTATTTAGCAGGCAGGTCCAGAAACAGTCACATCACCTCTACTGTTAGCCCAACGAAGTCCCTTCTTTCTTCTTTTGGCATAAAGCTCACTGCATAGAAGAATCACACGAGGCAGATGTGACAATATTCTTTTTATTTCTTTTGACTTGGAGTTGACTATTTCTTTTTTTAATTTTATTTTTCAGTTATGTATATTGAATATTATTTTGTATTCGTTTCAGGTGCACAACACAGTGGCTAAACAATCATATGCTTTACAAAGTGTTCCCCCCTGCCCCATATTTCCAATACCAACCTAGCATCATACATAGTTATTATAATGGCAGGTCCAGAAACAGTCACATCACCTCTACTGTTAGCCCAACGAAGTCCCTTCTTTCTTCTTTTGGCATAAAGCTCACTGCATAGAAGAATCACACGAGGCAGATGTGACAATATTCTTTTTATTTCTTTTGACTTGGAGTTGACTATTTCTTTTTTTAATTTTATTTTCCAATTATGTATATTGAATATTATTTTGTATTCATTTTAGGTGTACAACACAGTGGCTAAACAATCATATACTTTACAAAGTGTCCTCCCCTATTATTTCCAGTACCAACCTAGCATCATACATAGTTATTACAATATTACTGACTATATTCTCTATGCTGTAACTTACATCCCCGGGACTGTTTGTAACTACCAACCAGTGCTTCTTAATCCCTTCACCTTCTCCTAACCCCTCTCCCCTCTGGCAAATCAGTCTCTTCTCTGTATCTATGAGCCGGCTTCGATTTTGTTTGTTTGTTTACATTCCACATAACAATGAAATCATAGCATTTTTCTTTCTCTGGCTGACTCATTCAGATATGACAATATTCAAGAGGCAGGATTCAGCTCATCTTTTAAGAGTCTAGAGCAGCGGTTCTCAACCTGTGGGTCGCGACCCCTTTGGTGGTCGAACGACCCTTTCACAGGGGTCGCCTAAGACCATCCTGCATATCAGATATTTACATTACTATTCATAACAGTAGCAACATTACAGTTATGAAGTAGCAATGAAAATAATTTTATGGTTGGGTCACAACATGAGGAACTGTATTTAAAGGGCCAGAAGGTTGAGAACCACTGGTCTAGAATAACAGAATTTTCTCAGGTGCCTGGACACAGATCAGATGGTATCCTAGGACTAGGCACCACTAGGAGGGCTGCTGAATTTACGAAGATTTTCCCCCATCATTCAAGATGGGAGATGGCTGTTCAGGTTAGCCAACCCATTCATAAAATGTGAAAATATTAGTATTAGAAAAGGAAAGAATTCATTTGAATAGGTATTTCCTAGTATATATTAGTAGGTATGTTTCGCCCCTAAATCTCTCTACCCACCTAAACCAGTGGTTCTTATTAAGGACTCTTTCCCATTTCCCTCACCTTTACTCCCATCCTTCCTATCAATGTGTGGCTAAATGTTGAAACAAAACTGGTTTGAAAGTATCAATTTAAATAATCCAAACAAGGTATATTTTATAAATTTGCCAAAGCACTAGCAATAAGCAGAAGCAAATCAAGACAAGTTTTACTGTGGACATAATTTAAATAATTGAGCATAACCTGACATAAACCACAATAAATGATAGTAACAGCTCTGATTGTAGAATTGAGACATTTCTTTAACTACTGATAATGTACCTAAATGTTACTGAAACTTTGAGACCATTTATTTCTACTTTAAGGTAAAAGTAAACTGAACACAAAAAGGTAGCATTAAAAAGTTTTTATTGTAGAATAATGTGGGAAGGACCCTAAATGTTCACTCCCCAAG